TAAGAATTGTATGAGCCCCTAATAAAACGATTTAAAAAAAAAGATCATCATCAGGGCCACACAAAGGGTAAGGTCATTAGCTAGGCCGTTATCAGAGGTTAAGGGAGCATTGAACAGGACACTGGGGACAAAGAGTTTTGAGTTCACTCTGCAGTAAGTATAGGGGAGGTGCATTATAGGTAGAATGCTTAATAAAAAATAACCTGATGGTTTTCAGGTGTGTGGGGCCCTTCAGGGACACCTTGCTTCCACCAGCACCATGAGTCCTCTGTGTGTCACCATGTGTCCAGTTTGGGGAATCTTGACCAGGAGCTTTCTTGGAGAGGATATGGGTGGGGAGGGACATTCTTAGGGGGATGGGGCTTGATGACAGAGTCTATTTTGAATTTCTCCTCTGTGAAGCTGCTCTAGCTCTGAGGCATGGGAATAATTTATAATGGACATTCAATTCTTCCCCTTAAACAGGCAACATTGTTTTAAATCCCAGAAATAATTAACATTTATATTTCACCAGTCTGTGTTTCTAGCATTGTCTATGCCACAAAAACTCTTCAGGATATAGAGAAAAAGCTGAACTCTGCCAGTCTTGCATTAGCTCCTGGGTAAATTTTGGACCTGCATACTAATGTTTTACGTGTTCCCTCTTCTTCCCTAGCTATCTCCCCTGGTTCGAGGTCTTTTATAAGATCCTCAACATCTTGGCAGATTACACGGCAAAAGGACAGGTATTTTATTTTATTTATTTTAACAAGTCAATGTTCATTTGCTTTTTTAAATGATTCTAAAAGGAAAACATGCCGTCGGTGTCACCAGAAAGTTTACCAAAAAGGTAAGGCATGCCGTAGTAGGATGTCTGCGAAATGGAACCAGTCGGGAGGAAAGGAAACCTCTCCTCACCCCCTTCTTGCAGTGAGTGGGGCGCATTTGGAGAGTTCTTTTTCCTTTCTTTCTTTTTCTCTTTGCATTAAGTAAGTAATAATTAGATCCCTAGCATATGCTGAGTTTATAGTCCGCATTTCTAATATTCCCACGCAGCCCTGAGAGTTCTTGACACAAATTAAATCAAAACTATGCTGGGGCACTCGTTTGAATCACTCCTGTCATGCTGTAGAGCTGAGGCTTGCTAGTGAGACGCTTAACTGGCAAGTGACCTAGCCAGCGGTCCCAAGTCCCATTTCAGTCAGGCTTTGTTGCTTTACTTATCGTCATGTGTCTAACAATCTGAATGTTACATTAAAAACTAAGCTATTCCTTACCATACTTTGAGAAGAAACCGATTTTAATTTTAAGTTATCCTCATAGATGCCAAGGATCAATTAATTGGAGCGGCATGTAAGCTTTTGTAGCCCACAGTTTTTTGTACAGAGGCAATTACCCTCATGTTATTTAAAACACTGTAAATAGTATTCATGGCTAGGTAACATTGCTTCAAGTACTTTGATTTACTGAAGCATTTGTCTAATGTTGGGAATTCTTACTATTGAGATGTTTTTCACTATTAGAAACCATAACGCTCAAAGAATTTCCTTTATTTTGGTTTGTTTCCAAAAGAAAAAAAAAATCCCAGATGGGACATCATAAGGTCAGTGGATTTTTAAAACATGTGCTAAACTGCTTTCCAAAAGAATTGTGCAGTTTTCTTAAAGGATGTTCCCTAGCAGCGATGTGTGAGAGTACCTGGGTCACCATACTCTCACTTGTATTATTTATTGAATTTGTTGCTTATTTGATAGGTAAAAAGTCTCATTGTTCTAATAACATTTCTGTGAGTCCATATCGAATATTTATCCATGTAGTTATCTTCTTATATTTCCTTTCTGGTAGATGGCTTAAGTTTTAAAATCTCTAAATGATCTATTATTGTAAACATTATAGAGACTTCTCCTGCTGCCATTAAAAAAAAAAGAAGCAGTATTTCTAAAAAATGTTCAATAAACAAGGCACCATCGTTAAGTCATATTGTGCGCGTGTGTGTGCAGGTATGTGCACGCACACGTGTGTGTGTGGAGGAGAGCTGTGTTTTACATCTGTTTCTGTGGAGTTCAGATCATAGACGGTCTGGACGCCCTACACTGCAATAACCTCTGTTACTCAGTGCTTCTGATCTCGTTTGACCCCAAACCCTTTTTATTGTACAATTAATATTAATATTCTGAGTTGTCAGTGTTTTGGGGACATTGGGTAATGCTGTTTGGAGAAAAGGTAGAAACTGTGGGTATAATGGATAAATCTTCCCCTCCAGTTATATTTACTCACTGACAAATGTATTCCAGAGGTCATAGTAAATGGAAGGAATAACTAATAGGAATGGCTCCCTAGACCACTGAGCTCACTTTGAAAGGATGTCTCCGTATCAGGGAATTCAACCATAAAAGAAGGAATTTTCTCTTTGATGAATGAGTTAGGAAGTCACGTTGGGTCTGTTCATCGATTTCTGATTCACAGTTCACTTTAGTCAAACATTCAGGTTTTCACTCACATCTGAAAGAGGTCTTTAATAAGTAGAATTGGATAGAATATAGACTCCTAACTATTTTAAAATCAGAGGTTGACTCGCATGTTTTTCCTCCATGTTTATTTATGCTCCAGTCAGTTAAAAGGGGACTAAGAAAAACAAAAGAACCCAGTACATTTAAATATATGTCCAGCGATGCAGGAAAGACTGGGTAAAAACAACCGAACCGTAAGAGAGACGTGAGGACTGATTCTGTACATTGGCGAACCATTCCTTGGGGTACTTGCTTTAGTTGGTAACTCGCCTCTCAGTGTGTTGGAGAAATTAGGAACATGTTTTGGTTGGAATCTACCTCCTTGAACCCCCAACCCTTTTTATTTAGTTCCTCTTGGTTGAAAGATGATGCGGAGTCAGCCTACAATTGACCGAGTCCAAAAGTCATTAGAAGACTGCGTAGATAGGCCTCTGTTTATTGTTGTTTTGACAGCAGAGTTACCCCGGTGACCCGGACTGCTGGTGTCTGAGCTGAGCTGAGAGGTCTGTGGAGGTGACTGATCCAGACTCTAAATAGCACAGTGTGAACATCCACTTAAAGGGGGTTATGAAGAAGGGAGATCTGAGCCTGACTGAGATGAGGAAGGTGATTGTATAGAAAGTGATGGCAAAGACTGGGCACCGGATGTTGGAAGTCCAATGAGACCTAGGGGCACCCACATGGGAAGAGAGGCCACGAGTGGCCTTTCCTGGGCGGCTGTTGGAGTCTGAGGTGGGCCAGGCCTTTCTGTGTGGTGATGGGTAACAGCAGGCCAGCACTGGCTGTCAGCGTCCCAGCAGGACCAGGAGGGTGTCTGGACAGGGCGGCAGCAGGAGCAACCATGGGAGTTTGGTTGCATACAATGTATATGTATGAAGAAAATGGGGGCAAGATTTTTCACTGCAGTAGAAAATAGTTGTTATTGTGTATCCCCAGGGCAATTCTGAGTCACAGCGACCCTATTGGACAGAGTGGGACTGCTGTCCCCTGGGGTTTCTTTGGCTGTCATCTGTATGACGGGTCTGTAAAAGGAGGAAATGAGAAGGGTGCTTGTTGGATTGCAGTTGGAGCTCCCAGTGTGAACCCATGGCTTTTAGCAAATGTAGCTAGATATAGAATAAAGATTCAATAAAAAAGAAAACAAAAACCCAAGCACACTGCTTTTGAGTTGGTTCCAACTCATATTGACCCTATACAGGGTTTCCAAGCCTGTCAATCTTCACAGGCGCAGACAGCCTCAGCTTTCTCCCACATTGTAACTGGTGGCTTTGAACTGTTGACCATGTTCAGATGTGTTATAACAAGTTGAATTTATTTGATGCAAAAATAAATTGAAATTCGTGCATAGATCCTCCCCCATAATAGACATTTTTTCATGGACTTCTGAAGATTCCCTCATACACAGCAAACCCCCCAAAAAACAAACCCACTGCCATCAAGTTTATCCTGACTCATTGCAATCCCATAGGACAGAATAGGACTGCCCTCTGTGGGTCTCAGAGCCTATAAATATTTATGGGAGAAGAAAGCCTTATCTTCCTTCCAGAGAAACTGGTGGATTTGAACTACTGACCTTGTGATTAGCAGTCCAAAGAGTAACCTACACACCACTGGACATATTCCCTCTTTCTTCTCAACTCCACTACCCCAAACAGCTGCAGGCCCACAGAGGAGACTCTGGAGTTGAACACAGAAGATCTAAGTTTTGATTCGAGCTGTGAAACTTACTGTCTGTTTTGAGTCCAATTATTGTATCCTTTGAGCCTCAGTTTTCATATCTGAGAGGTGGAGTAGATCAAATAGATATAAAATCGTAGCCTATTGCCATTATTTCAGCACAGATAATTCCTTGGGAGGAGAGAAAGGGCTTTTGGATAATTTTGAGAGCATTGTTCCTTTGAGTATTTTCAAAGGTGAATTGTTATTTTTAACCAACTAATTTATAGTGTTTTACATGTCATTCTGTGGCTCGATTTGACTAATTAAAATGCACAGCCACCATTCTGTAGTGCATGCTTTTGCATGTAGTTCATTTCTGACTTCCCATAATTGGAGGCTGCCATGTGTACCTAGTGAACACTCAATAAAATTAATTGAAGGTAATGATGATGGAGACAAGATCTATAGTACCATCATTATTTCTCCCAGCCACCCCCGCTCCTTAAGCTAGGGTTGTTTGCATTTAAAAGTTGTTGCTATGGAGTTGAGAAGCTGAGAGCTTATGGTGTATGATACAGAAAAGGCGGTCATGGTAGGTGTCTTCACTGAGTAGAAAATGTCAAACATGTTGTGGGAGGATCTATTTGGCTCTTATGCTTGAGCCATAAGCTGTATCTTTTGTCCAACGCTCTTTGAATATCAAACCTGTTTCTGTAAAGGGGCCAGTTCTCCCCAACTCCCACTCCCAACTCTGGGCTCAGAGCTCCTTGCAGGTCCCCTTATATTTGTGACTTCTGTCTTGCATTTCTTTCAGGAGAGCCAGTGGAATGAGCTGCTTGAAACTCTGCACAAACTTCCCATTCCTGACCCTGGAGTGTCTGTTCATCTCAGCGTGGTAAGTGGGTAAAATACTAACGCTCACTGAGACCATTTTATGTGTAACAGTAAGAGGAACTCAGCCAAACAGGTTGACGTTTTTTTTTATCGTCTGCACCATCTCTACCCCATCCCAGAATATTCAGAGGCCTCTGGGCTCAAGACAGGCCAGAGAGTTGAATTATTCTCTTTGGTGGGATTCTATGAGGAACAGTTCCCAAACGACCCAGCCTCTTCTCTTCCTGATTGCCATCCCATCACTCGCATCTCCTGGATCATAGATGTTCAGTATGGAATGAGATGGCTGGCCTGGCCTGCCTTTGCAGCCTGGGCCACTCTCTGCCACACCCTTTGCCTTCAGCAATGCTGTGCAAGCCCCCACCACGCCCCTGCTCCTCAACTGCTGCATGTCATTTGCCATAGGAACCGGTCACCCTTTAGGACACAACCCAAGTGTTATTTCCAGAGAAATCTCCTCAACAACCCCCCAAAGGTGTTTTCCTTTCCCCCGTGTCAGTCCAGGTAGACTAGAGAAACAAATCCATGGACACACATACGTGTATAAGAAAGAGATTTATACACGAGAGCAATTGAACATTGAGAAAGCACCCCAACCCAACCCAGTCCAGGTCCATAATTCCACAAGATACTAGCCCATATGTCCAATACCAATCTTTAAAGTCCTCTTCAGGCCCATGAAATATATGTAATGACGCCAAATGTAGAAGATCACAGGCCAGTGGGTGGAAAGTCTTTGGATCCAGTGTCATTGGAAACATCTCAGTGCTGGCAGGGGTCATCAGGATGGGTCCATGAGTCTTGTCAGCTGCTCTGTCTCCCAGGGTGTGAGCAGAGGGTCTCCCACCTCCAAGGAGGAAATAGAGGCCTCATTGGCTGTAATCCCATTGACAGACTAGACTCCGCCTCTTCACTCATAATCCCCTCAAATTGACAGTTATCTAACTACCACACCTCCCAACAATCTTGTGCATTTTGTAGTGTGCAGTCACACCACATGGAATGACCTTTTTCCTGTCCATCTCTTCTACTAGACTGCATGCTCATTGAGGGCAGGGCGTGAGTGTGTTCCTGGCCATTAGAAATAATGGTTTCTTTCAGCTCTTTTGAAGATGTGCTCTCTGTTTGGTGTGCAAGGGTTGGCAATCCTCTGCACTGCCCTTTGAGCATTCTGACTCTCAGTTTCGCCAATGAGCTGAGTAAACTTAAGACCTTTCACCCCCTGAGCCCCAATGTTGTCATTATCACGGAAGGCAGCTGAAGAGGTATAGGGGATCTATCTCAGATTTCATTTTCTAGGATCATCTAATTCCCCGAGTCAAACCTTTGTCTTCACCTTCCTCATAATTCTCCAGTGGCTCCCCCTGGGCCATCTAGCAAGTATCCAGTGGGTATTTTCCCTCTGGTTGTGGGGTTTGGAACCTGAAAAAGCTTTTGTCTTTCAGCTTCTAGAGAAACAAATACAGTCTTGGAATTCTGTGGTTGTAGTAGCTGCCCTCCTAAAGAAAATGAATATTTCTTATAGGTTTAAAATTTTAAAAAATACATTACTACTACTAACTCATCATAAATCTATTTGTTAAGGTCTAAATTTATGGTCAAGTGTATGTATTCTAATGTCAAAACAACTCTGCAAAATAACTATTCACATTCTCATTTCACAAGCAAGGAAATGAAGGTTTAGAGAGGAAAACAAGTTGCCCATCCAAGTTAATAAGTGAAAAGATAGGGGTTTTCAAAGCCAAGGCTAACTTCAAAGCCTCTGTTCTTTCCACTGTGCCCTATGTGTTAAAAAGAAAAACGAAAAAAAAGAAACTTGTTGAGGTTTTTGCCCATTTTAACAGAGCATAAGAAGGAAAGGGACCTTATTCCTAAACAGAAATTCTCGTAAGGGGAACTGTGTAGAAAAGACAGACAAATGAGCTTTAAACCTGCCTTAGTTTTTCTGTCTAGCTCAAACAACCCTGCCTTTGTCTCTTTCCCTTTTACTAAGCAGCTTGATCTTGCCGCTTCAGTATGTAATGGCATCCGACAGGTAGCGGTGAAGTAGCTAGGCTGGGTCACCAGCTGCTGGGGAGGTGTTCCCCTGAATGACCGCACTACCAGAGCTCCTGCCAGGCCTCGAGCACAAGGCATCTCAGGGGCCGAGGAGCTGTTGGGGTGGTGCAGCTGTTTCATGCCAGTGGTTTCTAGGAATGTTTCTGACCTCCCTTCATCCCTAACATTTCATGGGCGATGGAGCAAGACAGAATCTCAAAGGACAGCCTGGGGACTACTTGGGTTTGGAATTGCATTGGCTTACTTTTTACAATCTATTGGATCTGTAAAGACAAGGTTTCCCCCCCTTTTCCATTGACTGGAAAGTGCTTTTTTCCTATTTCTGATTTTGAAGAGTAGTGTTGCCTACATTATGTGTCCTACAAAGTCAGAAAAATGGCAATCCTGGACTTGTGTATTTTGTCACTCTCTACAAGAGAATATCCCTATATGCTCGATATCTATGCTGAGAAAAATAGAACCGTAGACTGGTAATTGAGAGCAGGTATAACAATTTTGTATCCAAATACCATTTATTGAATGCAAAGCATGTCACAGGTATTGACACTTGTGCATCACAGCATTCTGAAATACATGGTATACAAACTTCCATATAGAGATTGAAAAACTGAGGTTCTGGGCTTTTGAATTAACCTGTCTAAGGTCACAGAGCTGATAAATGGCTGACTCTGTGTTCCATATTCTTTCTGTCTTACTGTGCAAAATCTTTTCCACGGACTCCATCATTGTGGGTAGCTCCCTTTTCGAGCATTTCCTGACACTCTCTTTGAGCCCTTTGATATAGAAATTAGTATCCCATGGGTCAAATTCAAATCTTGTGTTTCACTATTCCTATTCTAATCCTCCTTGTCAAATTGGAAATTAACTAGTTTTTATGCCACATAATCTCTATGATAATACTTTGTATTTCATATCTTGGAATAGACACGCAAGATGCATTGCAGAGGATTTTTAAAATTTTATTTTGCTTTATATTATTTGTATTAATTCCAATGACATTAGCTGTCATTTGCGTGTAGGAAGCAGATTTAAAATGTGTTATAGTGGAGAAAGCATAACTCTATAATTCCAGATTTTATTTCAATCCCAGTTTTGCCACCTACTGGCTGTGCAACTTTAGACAAGTTACTTTACTCCTCTGAGCTTTAATTTTTCCATGTGTGATAAGAAGATAATATCTGTCTTAAATTTTATTATAGAAATCAGACATAATATTTGTAAAAGGACTGGCACGAAGCCAGCCATGTAGCAGGTGTTCAATAAATATCTGTTAGATATTAAACAAATAGATCATACTATTATTGTTACTGTCATTATTTCTAATTGTCCCTAGGGCCTTTCATTTCATGAAGCGCATACAATTCATTCTTCTAGAGGCCTACTTTGCAATTATCTAAGAATAAGGGCAGAGTTGGCAGGGGGCGGGCCTTCCTGAAATGTCACTTGGAGGTCCAGGTTTGAACTTAGGCCATGGCTAAGCTGACCTTCTCTGCATGTGACCTTCCCTCGCCTTTGCACAATTCTATCTTTAATTGGCCAGAACTAGGCCTTTTCCATTCCTGCTTGCCATTGTCCTCTTAATCTTTAAGCAGCAGAGGGAGTGTCATCAGTTCAGCCTGTTGTCATTTAACTCAGGGACACATGCTTGTTAGATACTGGAGATGTCTCAGTGAAAGTTCTTTGAACAGGTCAAATTTTCAACTCCACTAAGTCTCCGGCTCCCTTCATTGGAAATTCCATTGGGAGCCAAGAGACTTGTTCGCAGAACACCAAGGGTGGGCATCTCTTCACGGTTAACTAACTGTGGAGGAACTGTGTAGTGGGTTCTGTGCAGTAGCTGGTGCCATCCTTTGCACTGCATGGGCCTTTGGGGTTGATTTTGGCTGCAGGTTGTAGAAGGTGTAATCTCAGATGCTGAAATGAAATGGCAGATTTGGTTAGTAAAGACCATTGCTGAACGAACCTAGTGATCTTTGGTCCCTAGAGTCTTCTTACCTCATTGAACAGTAAATTATGAAGCCTGGAGGTTTCACCTGTCTAGAGCCCTGCAAACTTTTTCTGGGAAGTAGCCTTTTATTTCTTTTGAGCTCTTCATCTATATCTCCCAAGGAAGTTTGTCTCAGAGAGTAGAAATCCACTTGGAATTTATATATATATATAAATTAGATATATTATATATCTAATCTCCCATGGACTTTACAGTGAGAGAAACTAATGTTTTCTCATCCAAGTAGGAAAATATCTTCAGATAATTTTATCTTATTTCTGAGTAATGTGCTCAGTGCTCATTTTTGCAAAATGTAAATAGCTGTTGCTTTTCTTTTCCAGCATTCTTATTTTACTGTGCCTGATACCAGAGACCTTCCTAGTATACCTGAGAATGTGAGTATCCCAGAACATGGCAGAAAAAGTTAAATTTTTGCTCTTCTTTGCTGATGCTGCTTTTTAAAAATTAAATAAAATTCTGTGTTTGTCCATAATGGAAATGATATATAAGTAAAAGCAAAACCAGAATATATGAAAAGTATAAACCCAAGGAGAGACCATTATTCATATTTCTCAAAGATGATCACTTAGTAGTATTTTAATGTCTCGTTCAAGCCTTTTTAGGCTGTGTATTTTACAGTTTTTGTCACCTATTACAAAAGCATTCCCCATGGTCATTTGTAAGAATCATTTACGTTAACTGTCCAGTATTCCATTTGCTGGGTAATTTAATTTAGCCATTCCCCACTGTTGTACATATCAATATTTTCTCCTTTTTGCTGTTGTTAATCACATGTTTCTATATAAAGAGATTCCCATGTAAAGTAGCTCTATTAGGATGGATTTACTCAAGTAGATTTACAAGGCATGTTCATTTTTAAAAGCAACCCAAGAGAAATTAAAGTATTTGGGGGTATAAGTGTGAGAATCCCATCCCCACCGCATAAAAACTTAGGAGCACTGAAAAGAGTCTGAGAGAATAGATGGTTAATGTTTGCTACCTGAACAAGCTGAATGGGTTCTAGCCTGACCGTGAGATAGTCTCAAAAAATTTACACTAATTATAAATAGTACTATATAGAATTAAATATACTAAATATACTTCATTTATTTTTTATTTTTTCCAGGTTATGTAATTATGTAATGTTCATTGATTATTATCATACTGGGTGCTAAACTGCATCTTTTTTTTAATTAAAAAATCATTTTATTGGGGGCTCTTACAACACTTATAACAAATCATACATCAAATGTATCAAGCATATTTGTACATATGTTGCCATCATCATTTTGTAGATATTTACTTTTTTTAAATCATTTTATTAGGGGCACATACAGTCTAATAATCCATACATACATCAATTGTGTAAAGCACATTTGTACATTCATTGCCCTCGTCATTCTCAAAACATTTGCTCTCCTTGTAAGACCCTGGCATCAGCTCCTCATTTCCCTCCTTCCTCCCGGCTCCCCCCTCCCTCATGAACCCTTGATAATTTATAAATTATTATTTTGTTATATTACACTGTCCGATGTCTCCCTTCATCCACTTCTCTGTTGTCCGTC